CTACAGAAACCTTCCTCGTGCACCGTGCCACGAGACTTAATGAGCACATTTTATGGCTCAAGTCGACAAGCACAGAAAAAGCAAACATGTTGTGGGTTATTGGGTGATAAATAATGCAGCCTTGGTGTTCTCATTCAAATAACCTGGTGATGCAAAGACTGTCATGGATTTGAACAATGATTCATATGTATCTGATCATATTAGGTTAGGATTAAAGAAACATAATGGGGCTGGAACAGAGCATGGGGATAAGGAAGGACTTTGCTGCCACCACGTGGCTAATGATTGTAACTGCAGCTCCACTAGAATTGAAAGGAGGCATGAATAAATACAAGCAGACATTTTAATTTTTAAAATAATATGCTTAATTTTATTATTTAAATACATAAACACTGTAGTTATAATTTATTTATATGGTTAAAGCTAATAAAAAAAAATATAATAAAATTGCTCTAAGCTAAAGTTCTTTTTTTTTTTTAAGATATTTTGTATTTTTGACGGGCAGACACATGAAAACGACACAAATCGTATATTTTGTTAGGAAAATGAGAAAGAGGGAAGAACATGCTGTTTAAGTTAACCAGGTTACATGCAGGATGGTCTTAAGTTAAAAATTCGCATAAGAAATATCAATGGTCTGAAGTTATAAACATCTATTGTGAAAAATGTATGGTTAAGTTAAAAAGATCTGGAACTGCTGCTAAAAGGAGATTATATTACTTATGTATAAAAAAAGTTACAATAATTTCTGAACTTTACATTTTCCCCCACTGAAAGTCATAAGTTAGCTTTAAAAGTTACTTTTTCTAAAATTTTTATTGTGACATTATACTACTACTGTGATAATAGATTATTTAAAAAAATGTAAAAAAAAAAAAATAGGAGTAATGCCGATAGGAGAGGATTTTGACCAACTAGCGCAAATACAAGTAATTCAAAAAGCACTAATTTGTTCCTAACTCATGCTGGGATAATTAGGGTTAACCAGAATGAGAAAAAAAAAAAAAATTTTGTTGACTGAAATTAATACAAATTAATTTAAAACTGAAAAACTATAACTAACTGAAATTGTATTATGTATTAAAAAACTAACTAAAATATACAAAAATGATACCTCTACAGTTAGGCCAAAAAGTACTTAGTCATTAATTGAACAAGTTCTACTAGGCCTGTAGTTTTCATCATAGGGACAATCCAGGAATTCACATTATGGAATTTTTTTAAATGTATTTCTTTATACTTTATGGTGGAAAATAAGCTTTTGTAAATGAACTGAAATCCTCCTTCTTACATATCGAGCCTTAAATGGCCACTGTCTGTGTTACATCAGAGCTCTAATTGTACCTTATGTTTCTAACGGAGCGCTTCGCTCTCAGTCTGCTGGTTTACTGGTGGTTCACTGAGAAAAATTGAAATCTAAATAAGTCATTTTTTCTTAAAATAAATGCATTTGTTCTTGGATTAAGGAGGTAAAAGAGACATTCTGCCAATGGAACAGGACAATTTACACTTAAAATAAGAAAACACAACTGCAATGTCTAATTTCAAGTGCATATTATCGAATTATCTTATTTTAAGACTAAAAATACTAATTCCATTGGCAAACCATTTCATTTACCTTCTCAAATTAAGGGTATATACACTTAATTTAAGACATTTTTATTCATTTCTAGATCGTTTTTCCAGTGTTCTTGTAATTTTCTAGTTTGATCTTTTAGTTATCAGGCTCCTGTCCTGTGGAACCAAAGTACCAGTTTTAGACACCCTGTCTACCTTTAAGGCTAGGCTTAAAACTTTCCTTTTTGATAAAGCTTATAGTTAGAGTGGCTCAGGTTATCCTGAGCTATCTCTATAGTTATGCTGCTATAGGCTTAGACTGCTGGAGGACATATGGGAGCATTTTTCCTCACTGCTTCTCCAAAAGGTGAATTTAAATCACTTGATTTTGATTAACTTTAAATGGAGGCAACTGTTGCAGAGAGAGTTTTTTAGGGATTTGATCCTGTCTCCAGACAAAGATATAAAAAAATATATAAATATGTTAGTTGTGACCCATACTTCATAAAATTGGTAAATTTCGGACAAAACTTTGAGATTTGTTGTTAATTAAAGTCATAGATGATAAAAACTGTCTGATCCTTCATCCTGCTTTCCCCAACAGCAGATATTAGCCTTCCTTTTAGTCCAGCAAATCAACTATTGTACTAATTTCTGCATTAATATTAATACAGATGATTAAGGACACATATCTTAATATCTAATTGACTTTGGTGCTGCTAAAAAGATTGGCTGCTCAAGACTTCCTCATGTACGGTAATGAAAAAAAGCTTGTCCTTCTTAATTATTCTACAAATATAAAATATTGGTAAGTTAAACAATGAAAATTTGCTGAGTGTTTAAGGCCATGATGTAATGATATTTAAACTGTGAGGCAGATGTTCTGTTTTAGAGGGACTTAGATTGTTTTGTTTTCTATAGACCAAAGAAGCTAGACAGGCAGAAATATTGGTTGAATTTAGTTCCATTATTGTTGCAAGCAAAGTATACATTTTGTAAATGGAAACTTAAAAATAAAATTAAATTCTGAAAGGAAACTTTGAAAAAAAATTAAAATTAAAATGTTTATTTTATTGTAAACTCAACTCATTTCACTGCATTTTATCAGCTTCGTACTAGGTCTGTTTAAGCAGGTATTTGTTTGATATTTTTTTGTCTTTTTTTTGCTAATATCTTATCACTGCAGTACTGAAAACTTTGATAAAAGCTAAAAACCTTAACCGGTTTCTGTTAAATGAATATTCATTACAAATTTGTTTTCAAAGTTAAAAAATAATATTAAAAACACAAATAGTTGCACTTTATGTATTTATTTATTATTAATTTTACATTGGCTAGGCCTCTAATACATGGAGTGAACTTTGTTCCATTATTGTTGCAATCAAATAACATGCTTAGTAAATAAAAAGATGGAGAAAAAAAAGCAATTCAGATATAAAACTAAAAAGAAATCTTAATAATAAAAAAGCTTATATGTTTTATTTTAAAGTATTTAATATTTTCCATTTTCTTTTAAATCTTTATTTTATTTTTTTCAGATTGAATTTGTAATTTGCATTCTTTTCTAACTGCATTTTACAAATCAATTTCTCTTTACTTATGAGAGAGGGCATTTCTTTTGGTTGGTATGGACAATACAATATTTTTATTGGTCCTGGTGGGAAATGAAACGTCTTCAAACTTGTCCAGTGGATTGTTTTTTTTTTTTTTTTTTTTTTTTTTTTGGAATTTTTATTGGTCAATGTGCACATCAAGAAGAAAGATGAATAGATGAAAGTTGGAAGAAAAATAAATAAATGGATATGAAAACAATTAAGGAAAAAAAATGTAAAAACATTATATCTGAAAAACAAAGCACAGTAATTACCAAACCCTTTTTTATACAAAGGTTAATTTAGTTTCCTTTGTGCATATATATACATACATATATATATATATTTTTTTTTTTTTTTCAGTTTTGATCATTTATTAAATGTGTTTATTGATTTGCAATAATATCGGATCTGTCCAGGGATGATGCTGAGAAACTAGTCCATGCATTTTTTACTTCAAAGCTGGACTAATGTAATTCTATACTATCAGGAAGTCCACAAACTGTATTTAAAAGCCTTCAGCTGATCCAAAATGCTGCAGCCAGAGTCCTGATGAAAATTAAAAAGAGAGATAATATCTCTCCTATCCTGGCTTCTCTTCATTGGCTTCCTGTTAAATCAAGAATAGAATTTAAAATCCTCCTTCTCACATATAAAGCCTTAAATGGCCAAGCTCCATCTTATATCAGAGATATGATTGCTAATTTTGCTCCTAACAGAGCACTCCATCTATCAATCTGCAGGTTTTATAGTGGTTCCTAGAATTTCTAAAAGTAGAAAGGGAGGCAGATATTTTAGTTATCAGGCTCCAACTACCAGTTTTAGTCCGTGAGGCAGACACCCTGTCTACTTTTAAGACTAGGCTTAAAACTTTCCTTTTTGATAAAGCTTATAGTTAGAGTGGCTCAGGTTATTTTTACTTGTTACTTATTTATTGTAAGTGCATATTTGGCTTTTATGTGTGTGACTTTGTACGTATGTAATGATGTGATGTAATTTTGATGCCTATCTTGGCCAGGTCTCCCTTGCAAAAGAGATTTTTAATCTCAATGGGTATTACCTGGTTAAATAAAGGATAAATAAAATAAAAATAAATAAAATTATCCTGAGCTATCTCTATAGTTATGCTGCTATAGGCTTGGACTTTTAGAGGACATAGGGACCCCTATTTCATAATTTTTGCTTCATTCTATCTCTATTCTTCCAGTCTACAGAATCTGTTAGTTCAATTTCTAACTTTTTGCTCTCTCTGCTATTTCTCATAGTAGCTTCATCTGGTCTGTTGCTGTTTGGCTGTGACATCATCCTGGAGAGAAATATCAGCTGTGCTGCTTCCATCAACACCTTTGTTTATAGATGTTGGAGGTCTGATTGTTTTTCCAGTGTAGTCCTGTTTCTCTGACTGTGACTGGCTGGATGTGCTCTCTTCATCCTCTGACAAGGGAGCTGGCTCGGAGCTTGTCTGCCTGGCTGTGTGTTTCCTGGACGGGGTCGCCTTTTACATCTGCTTTCTGTATCTCTGCTTCCGTCTCCTTGAACCCCAGTCGGCCTCGGCAGATGGCCGCTCACACTGAGTCTGGTTCTGCTGGAGGTTTCTTCCTGTTAAAAGGGAGTTTTTCCTCTCCACTGTCGCTACAAGCATGCTTAGTGTGAGGAATTGTATATGAGTCGATGCAATCAACTGGTTTTCCTTATCTAGAAAACTTTGAATCAATTTGACTGTATGATACTTAGTCAATAGAAAAGCAACATCCTCGGCTATCTCCGTTGTTCCCCTCCCATTCCCCTCGGTAATTTCCGGAACCCTTCGGCTCCCTCCGCCGCCCTTCGGACCTCTCCGTCAGTCGATCCCATCGTTGTCGTCGTCTGCCTCGTCCTCCTCTCCGTGTTGTTGTTCTCGGTGACGCGGCGGAGGTGTAGCCTGACGCGGTCTCTTACGTGTCGGTCTGAATAAAAGTGGAGCTCCGTAGACCCGGGAGTGACGAAGCGAGTCTGTGTTGGTAAGAGGACACGCGTCTGATGTTTGCTAAACAGATAATATACATGGCTGCCCGCTGAAGATAAACTGAAAATTTCCGCACAGGGCCAACAAAGAGATCATGGCGGCGCCTGTTGCAGCAGCAGAGCCTCACAAAATGAGTCAGTCTCTGCAAGGCTGAGACATAGGTATTAATGTGGGAGTGGGCTTTATTTTTTTTATTTAATACACCACACTGAAATTGGCTCCGGAGTTACGTTTTTATTCAATGTTAACGTAAAAAAAGTTAAACCAGTAATGAAATAAAACGGATAAAATAAATGTGTGCATCTATTTTAGTTCTTTAGGGGGGAAAAAGCTCGGTTGGAAGGCGTGCAGACATTTCCCTCCAAAGCTTCCAGCTAGCAGCTAGCTTAATCAGTTAGCCTAGCTGCAGGAAAGCTACGTTCAAATGCTAACGCTTTAGCTTCAGTTGTTAACACGTGTTTAAAAAGTAAATTAAATATATTAATGTCTCATAAATGTAATGATGCTAAACTCTTGGCGTCATTCAATGCATTGCTGTTAGCCACCTATCATGCTAACGGTGTTAGCTTCCAGTAGCTGTTAGCTGCTCGCTTAGCCGCGGTTTATTTTGGCTGGTGATTATAAAACAATGCGGTATGTTTCAACATGTTCCAGTTTTAGCCTCGTGTATTATTGTGTAACTCCTGTAAATATTTCTGTAAATGTTGCAAACGGGGTTTCCTGCTGGAGGTGAAGCCAAACCCCACCCTCCTCCTTAGAGCATTTAGCTGCAGAGAAGATTTAGAAAAAAAAAATAAAGAGGATTCCAGCTTTATTTTAATGACAACAATCTGATCCTTGTTTTTTTTTTTTTTTAGAACAATTAGCAACTAAATTGATAAATAACCTGTCACTGCATTTAATGGAGAGGAGATAAACCATATTTTGTTCTGTTTTGACAACTCATTTATAAGGTTTTATAAATTAGATTTTTTTTTTAAATAAACTAAATGTATGATTTTGCTAATTTTTCTTTTATTTTTTATTATATTATGCCTCCTAGGTTGTTATCATCCTTATATTTTTGTTTTAAACTTCTAATTAAAAGTAAAATATCTGACTTAAGGCAGAGAGTATTTATTTAACCAATTATCCATCTTCTTCTGCTTATTCGGGGTCGGGTCGCGGGGGTAGCCGCTTCAGTCGAGAGGCCCAGACGTCCCTCTCCCCAGCTCCTCCGGGGGAATCCCAAGATGCTCCCAGGCCAGCTGAGAAACATAGTCCCTCCAGCGTGTCCTGGGCCTCCTCCCGGTGGGACGTGCCTGGAACACCTCACCAGGGAGGCGTCCAGGAGGCATCCTAATCAGATGCTCGAGCCACCTCAACTGGCTCCTCTCTATGTGGAGGAGCAGCGGCTCTATTCTGAGTCCTTCCCAGATGACTGAGCTCCTCACCCAATCTCTAAGGGAGAGCCCAGACACATTACGGAGAAAACTCATTTCAGCCGCTTGTATCCGGGATCTCGTTCTTTCACTCATGACCATAAACCGACCGGTAAAATTGAAAGCCTTGCTTTGTGGCTCAGCTCTCTCTTCACCACAACAGACCGGTACGGCGCAGCCGCCGCACCAATCCGCCTATCGATCTCCCGCTCCATCTTCCCCTCATTCTTTTATTTAACCTTAAACGAAAATGGAAAAACACTTGAGCTCCATAATCTACATATAACATAACAAATGACATGTTTGTTCATTAAAATCAGAGACTTAACAGAAAAGTTAACTGTTAAATTTAGTACTGATTTCTTAGTAATGTATTTATTAGGGATGCATGATATTGGGATTTTGGCCGATATCCGATATGCCGATATTTTAAAACTCATGTAGCCGATAACCGATATCGATACTGATGTTAAAGCTGGACAAAAATAAGTAGTCATTGAAAATAGCAGTTTTGAAAATTCAAAGACACTTTGAAAAATAATATACTCAAATATATTTTCATATGCTGATATCAAATTGATTTTTAAAAACGCGATATCGATCTATTTTACTTTCAAAATCTCGTGAAATTTCATTGTTCTGTTACAAACTCTCGTGATATTTTGCAAATTCTTGTGAGATTTTGTTAGTAAAATAGATTGATACCGCGTCAATATATCAACATATAAAAATATGGCAAAATTTCGTGAATTTTCGGGGGATTTCGTAGCATAACGATGACGTAGCAATATTTCATTAGTAAAAGAGATTGATATGATGTTTTTAAATGGCAATATATCAGCATATGAAGACATTGTGATATTTTAATGTATCAATATTTTTTCCCTCGTCTTTAGAAGTTTTTAGTTCTATAAAAAAGAAGTTTTTGAGGAAGAAGAAGTATTTTTTTTATTTTTTTTTTAGACTTTAGAAACTCAGAAGCTGATCAAATATCGGGTTAAATATCGGTGGGGTGGCCGATGTCCGATATTCAGTTTTAAGGCCGATACCGATAGGTGGCCGATTATATCGTGCATCCCTAGTATTTATTTATTGTTTTTACATTCTTTTCCTCATCTTGTTTATAGAGCTGCTCGAATAGGCATTAAACTATTTATAGTTTAATGTTTTCATTTTTCTTGCAAGGAAAAGATGTCCCATATTTAGCTGTTGCTAGTTTCCACCTGTAATGTCTGCGCAGGTTCGCTGAAATAGACATTTACATTATAGAATGACTTTAGAAATATAGTATTTGTAGAGCATGATTAACATTTCAGTTCAAAAGAAATCATGGGTTATAACTACTTTACAACACTTGCATTTATTGTATATAAATGTGGAAGTTGTACCTTTATTGATGTCTGCGGCTTGTGAATGTTTTCCTCATAACTGAGCCTGCTGTAATTTTTTAACTTGTGTTTTTCTGGAAGTGTGTCATATTATGTTGCTAATTTAAAATAGCTTTGGTTGAAAATAAAGTATCTAAGTGCAGCAAAAAACAACAAAAAAAAGGTTTCCAGCCATCATTAATTCATCTTAGGGTCAGGAAGTAACTTTTTTTGCAATGTTTATCTTCTTTATGAGTCAAATTGTAGAAAAAACTGTCAAGACTTTGCTGCTAATTACTGTCCCGTCTGAAGACCTTTTTACAAATGTATGCAAATAATTGACTTACGATTAATTGTATTTAATGAATGCTTAGATTGCATTTTTTCCAGCTAATTGATTGATAACGCCCGTTTAGGAGTTTCACCTGAAGGTTGTTTATTCTTCAGGAGAGCCTCGCTGTTATTTGGTAGAGAAAAAATGTCAGAATGGATCCAGAGTTCAGTTCAGTTTATTTCCCCTGTTTTTATTGGATCCAAAGATGCAGAATGAACCTTTTGGAGTTCTGTTTGTAGATATAAATACTGGGTAAACTCCTTTAGTTCTCAACTACCTGGCCTCCATCTAGCTGTGCTGCATAGAGCAGAAGCAGAACTTCACTGCTGTGATGATAGGAAAGTGGCTGCATGACGCAACACATCCCATTGATCTTTTGTTTTTGTTTGCTTGAGTTTTAGGGGAAACTTTCAATAATGCGCTCTGAGAGCTGACCTTATTTTTTTTTTTAAGGGGCCTGGAAATGTGAATGAAAAATATTGCTGTTTTACAATAAATAATAGAAATTATAAACACTTAATGTTAGCAGCTCGCTGTATCACAAAATGAGCTGGTTTACTGGTTATGAGTGTATAAAAAAAAATTCAATTTAGGCCTACTAATGATTATTGTATCAATTGATTAATCTGTTGATTATTTTTTCGATGAACCCTTTATAGGGCACTCAGTGAAGTACTTTGAAAATCGAAATTTCAAGCTGATAGTATTATTGGAATCCAGGACAAAACCTTATTACCTTTGGAACATTCAAAAAATATGAATATTTTAATGGCAAAAATCAATGTCAATGTAATAACAAGAAACACCAACTTGCCTGAATATATTAGGAAAAATAACAAAAGTGCTTCTATAAGAAATTCATGAAAAGCACTTGGTCTGAAAGAGTGAAAGAAACATTTTTTTTTTTTTTTTTTTTGGTGAAACATAAACATAGATGCATTAATGCTGATACTGGCACTTACGTTTTTTTCTTTTTAAACCTAAATATAATTCTTGACTAGGCTTATTAACTTTTTAACTTTACTTTTTAACTTTTCAATTAGCTTTTTACCTTTTTTCTTGACTTGTTAACTTTTCTTTTTCAACTTAATATCCAGTAGGTAATAAATCATTCAAGGGCTCATCTAATTGGTCAAAGGCCAAAGTAAGATGTACAGCCATGTAGCAGGATCTTTGCTGAATGGCTGGGTGTAGATCTTGTGCTTCTAGATCTCACTGGGGGGGGCTCTGTAAAGGGGTATACAAGTGATCAAAAACGGTACCTTGCCCTATAAAGTGTTTGGATAGCTAAGGGTTCCTTAAAGACAGAAACCTTTCCACTGGTTAGTGCTGTTTTTTTAAATCCTAAAAATATAGTGTAGAATGATGTGTTTCCGGGTGGATCATCTAAATAAGTGGTCCTTCTAAATGTCAATCATTCTGGTGATATGTTAACGTAAGGCCGTCCGACGAGCTCGTCCCCATTTTCACTTATCGGTGGTCAGTCTGACATAGTGGAAAAGTAGCAAATCTTTTGGAAAGTGAGCTTGTATGAGCGATGAGAATAGCAACTTTTAAACAGAGCGTGCACGAGGAGAAATAGGCTCCTGCACACTCTCAGGTGTTTAGGGGCGGGTACAGGGTTGTTTAAGTGCATTTTATAAAGTGGAGAGGGCAGGTCTTTTTAAAAATCTGCGGCAATACTCCATTATACCTTTAAATGCAAAATATTTATATATTCTTTGGAATTTGATATAATTACTGCTCTAAGTAGGTCGCTCTGTCCGCTAAATTCATTCTAGTTAATTAATCGATTACCAAATTAGTTGACGATTATTTCTATGATTACAATTCATCTGATAAACTATTTTAGCCCTAATTCAGTTCTATTCAATTTTATTGATTAATTGATAAAAATTTATTTACAAGGTAGCTGTAGTTTGGACGGAGCAACGATGAGATTTAATACTCCGTCGTTTGGAAGTTAAAAAACATAAATTTGGAGGGAAAATATTGGAACTATATAATATGTAAGAAAAAAGGATGTTAAAACAACAAAAAATAATTTAAAAATTTTGAAAAAAAGTTATTCTCTAAACTTTTTTTTTTTTTTTTATGTTGATGAAAAGGTTGTTGCTTTTTTCCATTTCCCGGAGCTGTTCTTTGCAACAATAAAGGACCATATTTCACTCCATACAATCCGACTCAGATTTTCTTTCTCTGATTCTGAAGGTTTTTTTTAATTCAGAGCCTTTAAATGAAGATGGAAGCCGGTACAGAGGTGCAGCAGAGCGGCGAGGCGGCGGTCTCCGAGTCCGAAGCGCAGCAGATCACCCTCACCCAGGTAACTCCGCCCGTCGCTGCTCCGCTGACGGTTCGCTGCCCCGTTCACCCGGTAACCCCGAGGCTCTGTTTTCCAGGCGCCCATCACAGCGGGCCAGGGTCAGGGGGTCACCATCGTGCAGCTACCTAACGGTCAGACGGTGCAGGTCCACGGCGTGATCCAGGCCGCTCAGCCGTCTGTCATTCAGTCACCGCAGGTTCAGGCTGTCCAGGTAAGGAGGAACCAGAACCCCCCGGCACAGAGGGCTGCTTCTTCTTCTGTGCTTCTAAGCTCTGTGCTGTTTGTAGATTTCCACCGTGGAGAGCGAGGATTCGCAGGAGTCTGTAGACAGCGTCACAGATTCGCAGAAGAGGAGAGAAATCCTCTCCAGGCGGCCATCTTACAGGTCAGATGGACGGAACTAGAACTTCTGGTTCTGTTTGCACAACTGTGGCTAAAACCTCTCTCTGCTCTCCTTTCCGCCCCAACAGGAAGATCCTGAACGACCTCTCCTCAGACGCTCCCGCTGTGCCCCGGATCGAGGAGGAGAAGTCAGAGGACGACTCGGGTCCAGCCATCACCACTGTAACCATGCCCACTCCCATCTATCAGACCAGCAGCGGCCAGTACAGTAAGTCCTCCGCCCCCTCCGTGCCGTTAGCAGCAGAAAGCGTGGCCCTGACCTCCCGATCCTCTCCTCAGTCGCCATCACTCAGGGCGGGGCCATCCAGCTGGCCAGTAACGGCACAGATGGCGTGCAGGGACTGCAGGCGCTCACCATGGCCAACGCCGCCGCCACGCAGCCCGGGACGACCATCCTGCAGTACGCTCAGACCAGCGACGGCCAGCAGATCCTGGTTCCCAGTAACCAGGTGGTGGTTCAAGGTCAGGCTTTTCTTCTTCTACTCGTTAAATTGCAGCCGAGCGCCGCGTAGACCTGGACAGAACAAAACAAATAAATCTGAAAGGTTTATCAGAACCGATTCAAAAAAAAAAAAGATGGATTTTCTGTCACCTGTTAAACCAACGTTATTTTATTATATATATAAATTCATCAGCTGTTAGATGTTAGCATAAAACCAGCTTTAAGGCTGATTGATCGATTACTGTAGGAACTTGATTCATCCGTCATTTCAATCTAAAACAAGAAAAAAGTTTGGAGACATTTGGAGTTTAGGGTTAGAAAAAACACCTTTATTTACTGTTAAAACAAATATTACAGGGTTTTCCACACCATTAAAAGTCATTAAATTATTTTTCAAATTGAAGCCTTAATTGGCATTAAAATTCATTAAATATGATTACAGTGGCATTTAAAATGCTTGATAAAAAAAAAACAATTATAAAAACAGTTCTGTCAGATATATTATATATATGATATATACTGCTCATACCGCCGTATGTTTGGAAAAGAAGCTCGAGGTGGAGAAAAAGCTTGAGAATGGTAAAATGCTGATTCAAAGTTTCTGCGGGTCATAAAAAATAATTAGAAGTCATTAAATTATAATTTTTTAAATTAAGGTCTTAATTGGCATTCAAATGAATAACATTTGATAATCGTGGCATTTAAATGCTTCAGAAAAGAAGCTTGAGGCGGAGAAAAGGCTAGAGAATGGGGAAAAATGCAAATTTGAACCAAAGTGGCGGGAAAACGAGGAATTTCAGGACACGGCTGCAGCCTGTCGACTGTGAAAATGACAAAGGATTTATATATATATAAGAGAGAGTCATGGGTACTTGTTGATGGCATTAAAATAATTTCATAGAGCCTTAAATTGGAGTTAATTATTCCTGTATAAACCCTGTATGAAAAGGTCTCTTAAAATTCTGGGTGATTCATTAATAATTTCATGAATCAATCATGAGGCTTTTCTAAAAGGTGAATCATATCATTACCATCTTATATTTCAGATTCAGTGGACAGGTAGGTTTGCTGTTCCTTACTGATTAATAAATTAGTTTTATTCTACTGTTGTGTTTGTTGAGTAAAACTAAATAAGATGAAAATAGTTCTTATTTCTGTCAGTTAATACATAAACACAGGTAGTTTAATCCTTTATCTGAGAATGAAACACACTTATATGTCAACATCTTCATCTGAGACTCCTCTACCAGACAATCTACTTCATTCTAAAAGCCAAAATGCTATTTGACTCAACAACTCTTAGCGACAAATTAACGAATTATGCATTTCTTCTGAAAGCCAACAAGACACTGAATTTATAGAATCAAACTCATTTGCAAAACTGATGATTTACAGCTTATTACTTGACAAATTCCTCCAAAAACAGCAGCAGCACCAAGCAATGCCCATAAAATCTGTCCTTCTTTGCTGTTTTTCTCATCGAAAGATATTTTAATCCAAACAAACATCTGGTATGCATCCAACTGCTTATTATTCTGCTAAAAGCTGCTTCCTTTCTCCTATTTACGGTACTACAGCACAGCCGTATTTGGGAACGGTACCTTTGCTACCTCTGCTCCTGTCTTCTGTCCATCTAATACTGGTCTGCATCATTGGATTCTGTATTCAACAAATGGTTATATAGATATGCTACTGCGTCCTCTGGCATTTTTTCTACTTGGCTTTATATATATAATGGTCTGAAAAAGATAAAACCTGTGATTTTTGTCTTTTTAATACCAAATATATAGCAGCATTCCAAATTTTAAATTTCAAGAATAAATTCCAAACTTTCTAAATAAGCACAGTAGGAGTTTGCTACAATAAAAATACAGAACTACATAAAGATAGCTTTCAAATTCTGTGTATGAAGTTTCTGTATTTTTATTTTAATGAATAGTTAATTTTTAATATATATTTTTTGTAATTTTTAATGTTTTAATACAAAAAATAATATATTTTTTAATAGTTATTTGTTTTTTTTATTACTTTCTGTAATTTTTTTTGGGTTTAATTCTTTCCATATATAGTTTTCACTTTTAGACAGTGCGACTCCGCCTTAAACTTCTAGGATTATCCGAGGGAAGAACTTGAGTTTGGTGAAAACGAGCAAAGCGGCCATCAAGTTATTCTTCTCCCTTAAAGAACGTTTAAGTTTTACATCCACTGCAAATACCTAAAACTCCTTTTTGTTTTTTCCATCAGCTGCTTCAGGCGATGTCCAGGCCTACCAGATCCGGACTGCTCCGACCAGCACCATCAGTCCAGGGGTAGTCATGGCAACCTCTCCCGCATTGGGATCATCAGGAGGTACAGAGGAAGTAACACGGAAAAGGGAGGTTCGACTGATGAAGAACAGGTGCTCCTTCTCTTTATCCCTTAAAAAAACTAAATTACTAGTTTACTTGTGAACGGATGTGATGATGTCATCTGCTCTGATTGTAGGGAGGCAGCCCGGGAATGTCGCAGGAAGAAGAAGGAATACGTTAAGTGTCTGGAGAACCGGGTGGCCGTGCTGGAGAATCAGAACAAAACCCTCATCGAGGAACTCAAAGCCCTCAAAGATTTGTACTGCCACAAATCGGAGTAGAGGGGGGAGGAGGGGGGGTCCCCATGTACAGAGACTCAGCTCAGAGCCACGCATCCAGAGGCCACGCCTCCTTTTCTACTTCCCCCGCTTTCTAAAAAAAACAAACAAACCCAACAAACTGCTGATTAATCTGAGCAGGAATCACTGGGACAGAATTAGCCCCGCCCCCCCATTGGTTCCCCTAGAAACAGAGGACATTTCCAGGAAAGCATTCCAGTCACTGGTGTCCCAGTTTAAACTGGGACAGAATCACCAGCAGAGGATGGATGAGGGGGGGGGTGTATTTGACCTGTTACCCTGAACTGGAGGTGGGATGCCATGTTTTTTTTTTTATTTCTGCATTAATCTGCCTTTTTATTTACTTTTTAGGACAAACAGCTAAACATGAACTCAGCTTTAAACTCAGTATTAAAACCTTTGTTGTTTTTGTTCTTACAGGAAAATTAATCTATTCAGTTTTTAAAAAGACTCATAAACAGAATAAATCAGGGTGAGAAAGTAAAGATGTTTGCTAACTTAGGAGGCAGAAAGCGGTTATTCTAGATGAGTTTTTCTTCTTTTAAAAGGAAAGTGAATCTAAAAATATGTGCTCACTTTTATTTTTGCTGTATTTAGTTGTTTTATTAAACAAAAGTAAGCATGTCGGGTTAAAAATGGCTTTTATAAATATGAACTTAACGGTTGGCAGGAGTTTTGAAAACAGGTTCTGATATTGGCTAAACTGAAACGGAAAAAAACTGAGAAATTGGGGGAAGATTGAGAAAAATGGGAAAAAAAAGTACAACTTGAAGAAGCGCTAATGTTTTTTTTTTTAACTAAATCCATTGATTGAAACATTTGCTGCTAAAAACTAGTTATTAAATATAAACAATTAGTGAAGGTGCAGCGATATGAAAATCTGGGCCAATATTTCTAGATACAAACTGCACTGCCTCACTGTCACATAAACGGTCCCCGTTCCACTGATTGGACCGGGACCGATATTTTCAAACAGTCCAACATTAGAGCACCAATTTTAACACCAATAAATCCTAAATCCCACGGTTTTAAGGGGTAATTTCTGTTATAAACAACCTTTTAGTGAACAATATGCCTCGGTTTTTGGGGAATATGGGGGGAAATTTGTTCCATTATTGTTGCAAGCAATATAAACAAGTTTTTTAAAAGTAAAATAATTAAAAAAAAACATCCAGAGATGAAGTTTTTATAAACTTTATAAAAAAAAAAACATTTCAGCTAAACCTTTTTTTCTTTCTTACAAATTGTACATGTTCATATTTTATTTTAGCTGAGATTTTACCTAACATTTCTCTTTTTCCAAGTTTATTTTTACATAACGCATTGAATTTTGCTCTAATTTTCTCATTTCTAATTTATATTTTCAAATGTCTGTGTCTTGGATGAAGTTTTACAAACTACAATAACTTCATTTTGCATTTTACAGATCACATTCTCTTCACTTTGAGCCCAATACAAACACCCACCTTTGACCAATAAAAAAAGTTGTTGCTAACGCTGATGCGGACCAATAGAAACGCTTCTTCTCTCACGCTCCCAGAAGACAAGAGAATGTGAAATGTAGAATCCAATTCCATAAACATGGTCTGGAAAAGGGAAAATTGAAAATATAAACTCGGTTTACCAAAAAGTTTTGAATATGAATATAAAAAAAAAAACAGCAAATTGAATCTCAAAGCCCTATTTTTTTTCTTTTGATTCCATTTACAATTTTTGTTTTTTGTTTGCAACAATAATGAAACAGAATCCACTCCATAGGGGAGGAGCTATACGTATAGCCCCTCCCTCCCATATGGGAGTCTGTAGGTAAACAAAGCAGCGTTTGCACTTTCTTTGCTTTTGCAATCCTCCAGTCATTTCACAGAGCTCATAAAGCTCAGGCTGCTGCCTGTTGTTCCTCCAAAGGGTTAAAACAAACACTTTTAATAATTCCTGAACATGGATTTGGTCTGAGGCGATTCCAGCGCCTGAAAACGGGAATATAACGTCTGACCAAATCATAGGAGAGAACGCAGCTCATCCAGGATGCCATATTGTACTCTTATGTATAGTCATGAAATAGTTTGCTTTTTCTTACATTTTTATTCACGTTTTTCTAAATGTCGACTTGTACATCTGTGCATTTATGTTAGAGCCATATAAAAGAGATTTTTGGCAGCTGATGATCGTGTTCCTGGTCTTTTTTTTTTATTTAAAAAGTTTTCATAAATCCCTCCTTTTGGGCGGCATGCGCGTCTCGTACACGTGGATGTCCCTGTCTTTGTCGTAGTGAACCTCCTCCACGGAGAAGCGGCCCCTCAGCATGCTCAGGAAATCTGTGTCCCGCTCGTAGCGGATCTTACAGGCCAGTAAGACGACGGTGTTCTCTGAACAGAGATGCTCTAAGGTCTGCAGAAGGGATGGAAATGTCTCCTCCAGGTAAACGATGTCGGCACCCAGAACCACATCGAATCCTCCCTGTGGGAAACGCTGCAGTTCCTGACCCCAGGTCAGTTCTGAGACCACCACCGAGGAGCGGGATTCTGGAGGCAGGTTGGCTTCGACGTTGGCGGAGAGGAGCTCCAAGGCAGGCTGCCTGTCAGTGATGGTCACATTGGCACCTGGGGAATAGGAAAAAAAATACAAATTTCCTGATGTTTGAAGGTTGTTTTTTTTAATATCAGCATCAGAACAGGAGGCTTATTAAAAGCCAGGCATTTATTTAGACGCCACAATGGTTTAACAGCTGCTACGCCTTCCCACCCCCCCCCCACCCCCCCATTAATCAACCACTAATGAAATTATGCTAACTTAAAGGTACAAGCTATAAGTTTGTCATAAAATCTATTTTTCTAAAATCAAATATCCATAGAATGTCCAGGGATGCAGAGTAAAAGTGGTGATTTACTTTAAGAAAATCATATAGTTTGTAAATTTTGTTACAAATATTGATTGTAGTAAATATTTACATCTGGTTATAGATGGACTGAGAGCGATTACTGAGTGCTGCTTTATTTTTTAACAGATATTTACTCCTAAAATGTAAACATAAAAGGTTTTAATGCTTCTTTCAGTCAGATGAGAAAATTGTTGCTATGTTTGCAGCATCTGTGTCTGATTGCTAACTGAGTTCTGGATTGGGTTGATTTATATAAAGGAAAGCAATTAGATCAGCGAGCGTTAAGTAGCAAGATGAAAAATGAACTTTTTTTTTTATTAAATCGCAACACAGCAGCCAATCAAAGACCAGTTGTAGGTGAAGCTTTTTTTTTCCCACTTAAAATGGAATAGAGATTTTTAAAAACATTTTGAAATGTATAAATAAGGAATCTGCTCAAGAGGTATTTAAATTACTTTAAAAACAAAGAAGTTTTTAACTAAGTCCTAGAAGTATTGTTCATCTTTCCTTATGCATCGGCTAGATTTACAAGGAAGTAAGAAGCAGCTCTGGATGAACTAAACTAGAGTATTTTTATTTATTTTTTCAGATCTTTTGGGGCTTTTCCAAAAAATATTTTGGTCTCCCCAAGTTATTCATAGAAAACAATTTAGCATAATTCCATGATGTTAAGTTTCCTCCTTGCTTTTATTGTAAAATCGCAAAAGCAAATGCATTGGGGTGGCCAAGGGCAACACACAGGGAAAAAAAATCAAAATCTAAATAAGTCATTTTTTCTTAAAATAAGTTCATTTGTTCTTGAATTGAGGGGATAAAAGAGACATTTTGCCAATGGAACAAGACAATTCACTCTTAAAATAAGAAAACACAATTGCATCGTCTTATTTTGAGTGCATATTATCTAATTATCCTATTTTAAGAGTAAAAACCAAATGAGCACAAACAGTAGTTTTACCTGCAGTAATTAAGAACCACTGAAAAAGTAGGCTAGATTATTTCGATTCAGTTGACCTCTGAGTGACCTAAAAAATGACCTTCAATATCTCTGAAACAACAGCAGCACATATCTTTTATTGTGCACACTGTCTCCTCTTAACAGTTGTTCTACAGATGTGTCTGTTGTTAGAACTCTGCGTGGCATTGCCCTGCTCTCTAATCTGAGCTGCTGTTAACCTGTGATTTCTGAGGCTGGTGACTCGGATTAACTTATCCTCTGCAGCAGAGGTGACTCTTGGTCTTCCTTTCCTGGGGCGGTCCTCATGTGAGCCAGTTTCTTTGTAGCGCTTGATGGTTTTTGAGACCGTACTTGGGGACACTTTAAAGTTTTGACAATTTTTCGGACTGACTGACCTTCATTTATAGTAATAATGGTCACTCGTTTTTCTTTACTACGCTGCATTTTTCTTGCCATAATACTAATTCTAAGAGTCTGTCCAGTAGGACTATCAGCTGTGTATCCACCTGACTTCTGCTCAACACAACTGATGGTCCCAACCCCATTTATAAGGCAAGAAATCCCACTTTTTATACCTGACAAGGGCCACCTGTGAAGTGAAAACCATTTCAGGTGACTGCCGCTTGAAGCTCATCAAGAGAAAGCCAAGAGAGTGTGAAGCAGTAATCAAAGCAAAAGGTGGCTACTTTGAAGAACCTAGAATATTTTCAGTTGTTTCACACCTTTTTGTTGAGTATATAATTCCACATGTGTTAATTTTTAGTTTTGATGCCTTCAGAGTGAATCTACAATGTTCATAGTGTTGAAAATAAAGAAAACTCTTTGAATGAGAAGGTGTTTCCAAACTTTTGGTCTGTACTTTATATATATAAAAAAATAATAAAAATAAAAAGCTGCCATTTGTGAATGCACTCTATATACTCTATATATATATATATACACTCTATATGGCACCTTCTTCTTCTCCTTTGACTATTTGAGCTGACCTAACAAGTACATTTCTCCTCTGTGAGATCAACAAAGTCAATCAATAACAAAAAATTAATATCTAAGAAAATAGTAAAATTTATTTTCTGGTTTGATTATTTTTTTATATATATTTCAATTTACAAATAGTTTTCTTTGGAACAATATTGGAACAAAATTCACTCCCTAACAACTTTGATCTGGGATCAAATAAAAACGTTCTGTAACAGTCTTATTATAGTTATTATTACAACATACACAAAAAAAACCCAACCTGATTAAACTAGATATTATAGTGTGTTTTGTTTTCCAGAAACAGAAGCTCAAGCTTAGAACTGCAATCATTGAGGCTAAAACAAGCTATTTAGTTTTATGGATCTGAACAGAAGATTAGTAGAAAAACTTCAGTTATTTAATGAAAATAAATTAATCTGGTAAATTATGAAAGAAATTTTCATTTAACATTATTTTCACAATACTTTTTTAATGAACTGTCTAACAGAAAAGGTTATCGTCGACAAAAATATAATTGCAGTAGTTTTATTCCTTTTAGATTCTAAATATCGGTGTTGGTACCGGTCCAATGAATCAGACTGACCCATCAGTGCTGCAACAATCCCCACCAGTCCGGTCCCAGCTCCCAGTTCAATGGCCTTTCTCCCTTTTAGCTCCACGGCCCCCCAGCTCCAGGTACATGCACATAACTACTGCCTGAGGAGAAAAGCTTTATATTTAGATTTTCTTTATATTTATCCCCATCCTGATGGTAGTGAGCCACTCACCGCATCCCAAACAACAGCGGCCACCCCCAGCCTCCTCCAGTCCTGAACCAGACGGAGCTCCTGGTTAGCGAATCGGAACTGAGCTGAGGAACT